ATATCGTATTGATCTGAGACCTGTATAATCCTAATTGAAACAATAACTCTCAATTAGCACTACAATAAAACTAACGCAACAATGCCTACTTGGCTTAACCATTAATTTTCTGATGGAAAGATAGACTGAAGAAAAGATTTCTCCTAAGAAATTGTGTGTAAAGGAAGGAGAAGGTTTCTAAGGGTTGTTGGTTGAGTCAACACAGACTCATAAAGGTGACAATCAAACCGCAGATTTTATTAGCTGACATATTTATGAATATTAACATTTCGTTTGGCCAACATTAACGCGGTTAAAAAGAGCGAGTGGATGCGAACAGGAAAATGCGCAAAAATGAAAATGCTTTTGCATTGGCCAGGATCCGGATCCCGGATCCCGATCCTGAATGCGAATTTCGAAGGGTGCGCGCCTCCGTGGCTCATTAATTTTTATTCGCGGTGCGTGTGTGTTGCATTGCAATAAAAACATATTTTATTAGTTGCCGAAGAGCCAGAGGCTGAATTCGGAGCCACCACCAAACCTCTGACGACTGCCTGTCAGCATAAATTCATTATTTATGGTGCAATCAATGGAGCTGCCGAGCGTATGTCGAACCCATCAAACTCGTCAGTTCGCATCGGAGTCATAATCGCAGTCATTTTCCGAGCTGATCTCCGTCTGCCACCGAGCGGAAGTTTGTTTATTTTATAGTTTCTGACGCCCGTCGTTTGCCTTTTGAAGGCGCGAAAATTTGTCCTTTCCACTACCACGCATTCGAGGGTATTTTCGTTTGAAGAAAAGTTAAACACAACGTTTATATATTAGAAAATAAAAAATTCATAAAATTTAAATATTATTTTTACAAATAATAAAATACATATTTTAAAAATTTGTAGCTATGCAGCGAAAACTTTGTATCATATTCTGTGGTTTCAATTATGTATTCGATCACATTGTTCAATAACAACATGTTAACAACTTATTTTCTACAGTTTCCAAACAGAAGTATTCGATTATTCGTTACATTATCTTCCTTGACATTTTTGCAAACAATTTGCGGCACGACTGGTTGTCCTTTTTTGACAGTTATGTGTCTCAGATTTTGTTGGCCAAATTTGAATGCATTCTGTTTGCAGAGACGGGGAATATTTTGATAGAGGGTGTGGCCGGGTATTTCCATAACTCACTTGGAATCGGGATAATTTGCCTTTCGAGAACTATTAGCTCGTAATCTCGGGTTCAAGCTGCAAACAGAAAAACTAATTAAAATGTTCGCTTGGCTTGATGAATAGTCTGGGACTTCCTATGAGCAGGAAGATATCCTGATAGGCAATCCACCCCGTAATTAATACGACTTGAGTGACTGTGCTCCATCATCATCAACATTATCTTGCGTGATTTGCTTCACCACCGTTGCGGAAAAGATTCCTTTTACCTATATTCAACGCATATCCTGACGGTGAAAGGCGGTCACGCATCGTCTTCTTGTCATAATTTTTCTTATTTCGCTTCTCGGTCAAATATCCTATTAAATATTCAAGCGAATCTGGAGAATGTCAGCTCGTGCCTTCCTCTTAATGACATTTCAATAATTAATGTGCTTTCGCTGCTTTCTTTTTTCGTTTCCTGGCTCGTGTGCGTGTCCTTTCGTCTGGACTTTTCGACTCTGACTATCTGACTAGATATCATCAATCAAAGTATATTTTTAAATGTTTCGGTTATTTCGGGGAGCTGCTGCTGTCGCGGCTTATAAATGATGTTGTTGTCGAGCACTTTTTCCTTTTTTGATTACATTTTCGGGTGCCCTGCGTTTTTTGTTGATATTTTTCCAGAGGTTACATTTTGATAATTTCAAGCAACTAATCCAATTTCCTCTTCCATACAATTTTCCTCCATTTGCACAACTGTCATAATATCCGAGGTGGAATTTCGTTGGGGGTTTCCAATTGATTACACGACACGCCTTTGGTCAAATCCTTAGGCCAGGACTTATCATAATTCCATAATATAAGGATTTCTACTCTACTGAACAAAAAGTCGGACTAATGACATTAGTTGCTACCATTAGTAACTGACTGATTTGATTTGACTTCAAGTTATCCAAAGAACAAACCTAACACTAAGAAATTTTGTTTACTAGATAATAAAATGTAAAAAACTTACATTGTTTTATTGTTGTTCATAGTTCATAGTTCAAACATTATTATTGTGCTACATTTCTATTAAAATTCTTTCGATTTCGCGTACACTCACTTCATTTTTATGGCAGACAACCCAAATTATCAATTCCCCCTCCTTTTTATCTCAGCAAATATTTTTGAAAAAGGCAACCTAAATTCAACCGACCTGATAGTTTAATTTTCGTTTTTTGTTTAGGGATTTGCCTTTGGAGCCTTTTTTTTGGGTCTTCGTTTATTTCTGCACGAGCTTCCGCAGATCAACCTTATTGTCTTTCAACCTTTCTGCCTGTAGTTTGGCCGTTCTATTCAACTAATTCGTTTCTCGAATAAAAGAATAAAGCAAAAAAATTGGCCAACATGTCAGACAATTATGTGGAAGGTTGCCGACGAACCAACCGATAAAGATCAGTCAAGGTTAAGAACCGAAGCATAAAAAAAGGGATACGCCTCTTGACCGAAAACAGTTCTTGGAAATTTATGGATAAAGTTTTGTTTTGATTCGAGTTCACTTAACTCTAAGCGGTTTCCCTCGCACCTTTCGCTCTCTTTCCTAATATAAGAAACACTTTTCGAACTAATTAAGAGCAGAGCGAACGAGAAGTTTTGGAAGAATTTCCTGCCAGGGATTAAATGCTTTCTGTCTGTGATTTTTACAGCTTTCGCTTACAAATCGCTCGACATTTGGCGCAGCTTCAAACATAATCATAAACTTGTGTTAATTATTTTTCATATGCCAACCCCGTTCCATCGGGAAAAACTTTTATCTGTTTAACGTTAATTAGTTTTGTTTGGCAAAGTGAAATTTCTGATTTCTTTTTGCGCGAGCTTTGCAAACTTTTATGAACTTTTTTTCGGGCAATCAAAGTGAATTGAACTGCAGGATGTGCAAGGATATGGCAGCTGCATAAGTGCAAAAGTTTAATTAAAACTCCTGGCTGCTTGGGACCCAGTCATAGCTGATGACGAGACCCTCAAGGATTTCACATTGATTTCCTCTCGCGCAATTTTCCGCTTTCAAAAATTAACTTAAAAATGCAAATTGTTTTGTTAGCACCTAATTTTTGGACATTATCGAGGGGAAGAGGAGATGTCGAGAATGCCGAAGGGAGATATTCCCTGTCTTTGGCAAAAAGTTTCTGCATCGAAAAATCTTGGAAAATGTTTTTGTATTTCTTTTTGCATAATTGAATTTTCTTTCTGTGTTTCACTGTTGCCGCTTGTTGAACAATGTTGTCAAAGTGGCTAAAAAGTTTTCTCAAGCTTGTTCTCCTTTAAGCATTTCTATAAATTGAATTCATATTTTTCACGAGAAACCCAATAATGGATACAAGTTTGATTATTTTTTTGTAAACATACTGTTATTATATATTTACAAGGACACAATAAATACATAAGTATTACATAGAAAAAAGTACACATTTTCAACTTATTTTTCACAAAATCATAAAATTTCATAAAGATATACTTCTAATTTAAAAAAAAATATATTATTTGACACATTTTTAAATACCGTTACTGTAAAAACTAAAATTACTAAAACGACACGGTTATTCGAACATTTTTGATTAATAATTGTAATTATTTTTATTGCTTGTTTGTACTTTTTTCAATCTTACATATATCTGAAAATGAAATACCACCCAAAGGCGTATGATATTTGTAAGCTAAATCAAGAGAAATAAGAAAGAAAGCTAGCTTCGGCAATCCGAAGCTTATATACCCTTGCGGTTATCAAATATGTCAAACGAAATTCATAAAGGCTAAGCAATATTAAAGCTATGACGATTTTTCTGTTAATTTTCCATATTTTCGACTATTGTTCATATGGCAGCTATATGATATAGTGGTCCGATTTTGATGAAATTTAATTCGTTATTCAAGAGAGGTCAGAGATCTCTAAAATCCGAAAATCATGCTCATTGTGATGTTATAATTTTATTTCTATAAAGATTAAATATATAGATCAAATTTAACCGAAATTAAATAGTAGTTAAAAAACGCCATCTGGAAGAAATCAAGTCGATCTGATCAAAAACAACAGCGTGAGAATTTTTTATTTCATTCTCTCGAATGGGAGCTATCCGATATAGTCGGCCGATCCAGCCCGTTCCGACTTATATACTGCGTGCAATAGCTGCACAACTTTCAGAAAGATAGTTTTAAAACTGAGAGACAAGTTTGTTCAGACGGACAGACGTATTCCGATTCCGATATAAGGATTTTTGTAAGTTAAAAACACGAAACAGGTATACCATTTATATTTCATAGTTGTTTTAATAAAATAATTTAAAAGCCTTTATGCGTAATTTAATTTTGATAAACATTTTTTTTTTGATAATTGGGAACATTCTACCCGAATTTTACGGAAACAACCAATTACCAGAAGATTTGAGCGAAAAAGTTTACCTAAATAAACTACCGTCGGGAATATTTGGTTTATTTTTATTTTACACATAACGACATTGATTCAATTAAATAACCAGTGTTATTCACTTTATTTATTCAAGGACGAAGAAAAATTAGAACTCCTTTTAAAGTAGAATTTGAAATAAATCTGATTTGCCAGAAAGTTCCTTTTTGCCGTCGGCAAAATAAATTTCGAAAACCTAACAATTTCAATTAAATCGCAAGATCCGTCAAAAGCAAAATTTATCTCGATTAATCTGCAAAATAAAAATTGATTTTCCAGAACGTTCCTTTTTGGCCGTCGGCAAAATTCTTTCCAAAAATGAAACCAATAACGAAAATAAATTGTTTTCCTCATTTTTTCAGTGATATGCGCAGACGTTAAAAGCCCGATAAATTGCCATTGATAATTGAAAATACTGAAATTTTTTGTTTATAATATTTGAATGTTTTTTTATTGACTTTTTGTTTGACAAAAAATTGATGCAATTTTTAGCCAACTACGATGCATTTTTCTTCTTTCCTGGGTTTTGTTCTTAAGAAAAACTTAGGAAAATGTGCTTACAAAAGATCTTACAAACTATTACAGTAGTAATTCATTTAAATAGGATTTACGAGTAAATTATTTCTAAAGGAAACTTTTTTTTGTCTTTAAAAGGGGCTTTATAAAAGATTTTTGAGATTTTTTTTTCATTTTTTCCTTAAATTTTTTGTAGAAACAAAACCATTATCACAATCGCTTTGATGAGTAAACTAAAATTGGGTGGGTGTTGTTGTGGCTGAATCCTTGACTGCTGAATAAATCGAATGCCGTCGGCTGTTGGGCTTTGACTGTTTCTGGGTTGGCTGATGCTTATTTCCTTTGTACTCTGGATTTTGGACTGGACTATTTCGTTTTTCCCGTAGTAGTTACTCGAATCTTTTACTGCGATGGCTTTCGGTATTTGCCGGACTTTCTGCCGCTCTTCGGGAGACGCGGGCTGTACTGCCGCAGAGTTTCCAGGACAACGGTGGCCAGGAAGCGCCACTGGGACTCCCGCAGACGGAGGATCTGCTGCTCCTTCTGCTCCGCCTCGCGCAGCAAGGTGTCCTGGTCGGGTATGAAAAATGCGACTGCCATTGTGGGACTATCTTCTTTCGGAATTACACAACTGCCGATGACTCAATGACTTTCTCCTCGGCACAATGAATGTTTATCGGGTTAGTTCTTTGTTGTTGCACACGCACGTTGCTTTCGTATTTTCGAGTTCGTTCACTTGGTTCTGAGGTCGCTCTGCTTTATCTGACAGATACTTTCGAGATGGGTTCGCTACGCTGGCTGATTTCCAACTGGATGTACGGGGCTCTGCTCCGAGGCTATTTATACCTGGTGCTCTCTTGCCGTCTGGCTCTCTGTTTTCTGGTGGTGGCTGCTCTCGTTTTGGCCCTCTTTCGCTCTTCTGCTCTCCGACTGGCTTTTTTTTGTTTTGGTATTTTTGTTGACATCGCCTCATTCGCAGCTCCCAAAAAAGTACAATTTTTTCTGGCCAGCGGGGGCGGGGCCACCTTGCGCCTGTTGCCAAGCGTGTTTTTTATGTGAGCACGTTGTTGTTGTCAGGTTGTTGGCTGCGCCTTTGTTGTAAATGTGTGCGACGAGAAGTACAGTTAGCATATTAATTGTATTAAATCGTCGGGCATGACAAACGCTTTTCACCAAGGAGCCTGACAGAGAAAGAAATATGAAAGAGGCTTTGGGACTGTAGTACGAAACACAGCCAAGGATTAATCAATCATATAGCCGCCATATCTTATGGCACTCCAAATGAACATAGGAAGACAGTCAAAGAGGGCATATTACATTAGTCTACCAAGTTTCATGGATTTTTTTTTAATTGTCCAAGTTAAAGTAGTCTCTATTTTAATAAGTTTTATGCTTCAATATCAGAATATTGATCAACAATAACATAACATGTTTCTTTGAGAACCGCAACGTTATGATATTTTTAAGAAATACAAATATTAAAATAAAATTATGCTTAAGATTTAATTTTGTTATTGAAATAATCCAACTCCCTCCTGAAAGAGTATTTAAAAGAGAGCGATGAGTGGGAGCCCGCAACACTTGAAATATGGGCAAGTGGGAAAAAGTTCTCATTTATTTTTGTTCTCTCTTCGACAAGCCCACCTGCCATATCTAGATATATCATTCTTTATCTCGCGCTCTACAAATGTTTACACAAGCATCTGAAGCTTCCGACTAAGAATTATGACAATCTCTCATAAATTAACGGGACGATTCCCATATACAGTATATTGACAACAATGGGCTCGTCCATTAATTTTTTATTTTTCGCGTACAATTTTTATTTTCATTAGAGCGGAACCTGTCGGATATGGTATGATACGGTATGAATGTTTTCGGTGGAAATCATTTTATACAATACACACAAATTTTACTGCGGATTAAAGTATTATTAATTGGCGCTCTGTTGGTAATAATATCCGAACAAAGATTTCCTTGTTATTATTTATAAAGGAAAATTTTTTTAATCCCATTATAGAATTTACATTTTGGAATATTATATGCTGATTTAATATTCTTTGCGATGCCTTTATAATGTTTGATTGGTTGGTTTATAAACCAATTTATTCATTTTCCATGCTGATTCTTACTGCTCCATTTAGTTTTCAATTTCATAAGAAACGTCAATTGCAACTTTCTCTTCTATGACGGTAAAACTAATTTTGAGCATTCATCGTCATATCTTACTGTATATAATTCGATTTATGCAAATATCTAACTTCTTTTGATTACAAATACCATTAAAACAAATAGAAAGAAATAGAAAAAAATGTATTTTTTTTTTAAATGTTAGAATGATAATTGTGCACAATTCACTGTAAGACAATTTCTTGATTGTTAATTATATAATATAATTCCTAGGGGGGATTAAATTAGCAATGGTATCTTAAATACCTAATTAATACATGCAACTTATTCAAAATATGATAAACTTAGTCCCAAAATTATTTTTAAAATCCGTGCCCGACCGCTAAGTTTTATGCCGACCCAGGATCTCAGGATAAGTTTCTAGTTACATTCAAACTCCACCCACAATGGTGTAGCACTGTACCCACACAATCACACAGCCGAATCTTACGGCGTGCGTCTCAAGTGTTTCCACTGTGATAGAGAATAGCCACCACTTTGGGGGATGTTCTGCGTCATCGTCTACAGCGACTACTTCTCCAGCTCCGAAGTCTAGGTCTATTGTTGAAGGAACTACTCTACTTTCCTCTGCCGTTCTTTCTCTCTCTCTTTCTTGAATCGCTCCCTCCCACTCGCGCAGCTGGAACATTGCCTTTATAGTTATTTTTTCCATGGGTCTTTCTTTCCGGGTTCGCGTCAACACATATATAAATCCGGGAAGGTTGGGCGTGGCTTATTTCCTAACAGCGTTTTATGCTCCAGCAGGCAAAAAGAGGAAGCCAAAAAATGGGTATTTCCCTCTCTTTCACACGTTTTGGGGAACCAATGTAGCTCGAGTTGGGAATTTATGTTTTGGGTCTGCTTCGTTTTCTGGGGCGGAGTTTAGGCTGGGACCTTTTTTTTTTTGAAGTAGCTGAATCATTGCCCAAGAAGGTGGAGCCTTAAAAGGGACTCAAGTCAACCGAAACATGGCCAACTGTATCCCTCAAATGAATGTCCCTGCCCATAACCTATGGTAATTTGCGCATTACAAATAATTGAGCCTCTTCAACGTCAATTAGTTTGATGATTAACCTCTCGAAGACGTTTAACACATACCTATTTCGGTTTTTCTTCCCCCGAATAACCATTTAGGTTTTTAATTGCCCAATGAGGCGAAAATCTCCGAACTGAAAGATAGTTATCTCGGATTTGTTTACTTTTGATTTTCTTAAAGGATTACATGATTTTCCTTTTTTGACAGTCATGCGGGTAATTATTGCAATTTTTATTCAAAATATTCATGGGTTTTACGGGTTGCAACAAGTATATTACTAGTATATGAATGGGGTTGCATTCGGTCATGTTTTGAGAACCCATATATCATTTGCATAGCTAATTGTCAGGCTTTTAATTTAACTTATGACTTGTGGCTTATTGAGTTTGTCAAATTGGATTAGATTTCCTTCGATTGAGTTTTAAATCTGCATGTTAAATGACCCACATGATATAGGGATTAATGTCTGGGAAGTGTGTCAATCGAATTTTCGATCAACCCGGATGTTTCCCAGTCCCATTTCTGATTGGGATTCCAGAAATTCACTTTACATTTCATGAGGCATCAAACGAGATATTCCCAAATGAAAGCAAATTTTTAGCGATAATTTCATCAGTTTTTTTTTCAGTCTTCTGACGTGTCTCAGTCTTTGTCTGGGACTGCCTCAAAACGTTATTTCTTACACACCACATTAACATATGTACGTATATACGAACATTCGTAACATTCACGAATGCTAATGAGTAATATCAACAATGCGATAACTTGCGCAACTCGCGGTTTTTGTTTACTCGATTTTATGGTCCCGTTATGTAGGGTATTAAACTTCTTTTAGTACAGAATTATAAAAAATATGACAATTTCTGATCATTTATGTAATACTTATGATTTTGTAATAATTATGCTTCATCCTTTAGAGGGATTCTACCTTGTCGGTTTTTATTTTTAGCATATTCAGATGGATACTTTAATTCACCCATGCTCTCAAGCGATGTCAAGTATTGTAAGATTAAATTTCAAATTTTTAAAAGTGCTTTTGATTTGATTTTCAAATCGCTTGGGAACCTTGAAAATCCTGACGTCAGGAGTTTATGCATCCATGGTACAACAATTTGCCGGAAATATTAAAATTGTTTAATTTAAAGTTACTAGAAAATAATAGTTTTGAATAGTTTTTTTGTGATTTTTTTTTTTAATTTGTACCACGAACACGAAAGTAAAAATATTAAGAATAGATGTAATCCCCTTAGTTATTAGCAATTGGTTCTATATATCTATAATTTAGTAGTGATATGCTACTTTCTCTATTTTTTTTCCTGATAATTGTAGGCTTAGATCATTTATTTTTCATTAAGTCCGGGCATTAACAAGTCATTCAGTTTTGTTTTCCAAATTTATAGCTTTTCTACAATAAAATAAAATCGATTCTATGATTAAGTGGATACTGTGATACGGAATTAAATCGGAATTGTGATTTTCTTTTTTGTGGTCATTTTAAATTATTGTACGCTATTTTGCCTTCCTTCTCAATACTCAATTAGCGTCTTTAAATAAAACTTAGTTAGGTGTTAACCATCACAGATTATAAGAATTTCTTCAAAACCTGCTCCCGTAACGTATTTATTAATTATATCCGTTGATAATTAGGTCATCATCGTCATTCACGCTTATATGGTTTATACATATGTATGTTCTCTTTCTCTTAATCAGGTTGTTTCCTCCAACCCCTACTCAACGATTAATTTCATTCCAAGAATTGCGCAACGTTCTTCATGAGACCGCAACATTTTGTCATCTTTTTGTATCTTTGTTGCTCCCGCACTGTTTTCAATCTCGAAAACTCTCAATTTCTCACACATCGGTGTTTGCGTATAATTTTCCGCTGCGGCTTCGTTTCGTTAATTTGTGTTAATTTTTTATGAGCCCAACTGGTGGTCCGCTTTTCGATCATGTCAGAAATGTATATTCTGTTTTATTTGATTCCCCATTTAGAAAGCCCAGACTGGGAAAAAGAAACAAAGACAATTGCCAAGTGATCCGTAGCACTCGGGTCATTAACTCACTCCCCAACCTTTTTCGTAGTCCCCCTTCCATTTATTCACTCATTTTGTAACGCCTGTCATTGAGGGCTGCTTAGGCAGACGATCCGAACCGATCTGAGGCGATCCGACCGTCTGGGTCGGAAGCTTAAAGCGCGCACCGCCAGGGAGCTAAGATTCCCATACCCAAGATCCCAGACCTCGGACCGAAGACCCGACTCTCGGGATGAGTCATACCATCGTACCCATCGGTGGATGGGGAAGGGGTTCCTGGAGGGGTTCCGCGCACGCTCTCATTCCACTGCCCAAAACGAGACCCATTTAATGTTGTTTAACGACTGTTTGTAGCCTGTGTGTTCTTCGCTTCTGATACCCAATAAAGGTTAAAAAACGGGGTATAATAGGTATTGTTTACTAAAAATATATTTACTTCTTTGGTCTGTAGTAAATATATATACATATTATATTATTAGTTTATTTTATTATTATATTTTATTATATTAATACATGGTTAATTATTTTTTATTAATGTGATTTTATTATATTTTTTAACAT